CCCAGGCCTCGACCGGGTTCGGAGGGAACCCGAACCATAACTTTCAGGGCTCAGTTCTTGACCCGAATGGGATTGTTCCTGCAGCCACTTCTGCCACCAACTCTCCTCCTTTTGGGCTGGGCTGCCCATTCGGGTCTCAATTTGACCAACCCGACTTCTCATTTGATGACCCGGGTTTCTTTCGCTAACTCCGGGCAATCTTGCATAAAAATGGCTAGGTTCGTCATCTGGGTGCTTTTCCAGGATAATTTTGTGCTGTTAAAGTAGGTATTGGCATAGGCATCAGGCATTTGAGATTAAGTGTAACAAGTTGAATTTTTTTTTTAATTCTGATTTTAATCTCTCTTTTCCTGTAAGCAAGGAATATTTTTCAATTCCTCAATTTAATGAAGTTCTACAATTGAATAAGAAGTTTATACATTACTGGAAGTCGAGGATGACAAGATCTTTATCCATGGTCTATTTTACTTATTATGCGAGGTTACAGGTGTATGTTTGAAGTTGAGGGACTTGAAAAGCTTGAGTTTTAGGAATAATCAAACACTTCCAATCAACTGGGTTCAATAACTGACAAATGAGAAGTTTGACCACCTACCTCTTAAAAATTGATGAAAGATTACAAAGTAAGAATCCCAACTGTGTAAACAGTAACTCTTTAGTGCGGGTGCAGAATCTTGCCTTCCTCCACGATTGCTAAGTCATGCATTTACTGCACAGTTACAAACTCGTGGAACCTGTAGAATAATCAAGAGGTATGGTGCAGCCAGACATAACAGAATATATAGTATTGTTAGCGTGGGCCTAGCTGAGAGCTGGGAGTTTGGAAGGATTTGAGGATGGCATAAAATCTTGAGCTTTAGGAGATTTTGGTGGAGGTGGACTCTAAGTACCTGATGGATATGACTGTGGTAGATTTTTAAGTGAATTCTCTTTTACCTCTCTGTTACCCGGAATTATTACTCTTACCAACCAATAGTGGATTGTCAGAGTTAAGCAAGTTCCCATAGAAGGTGTGCTAATCAATTGTCCAAACTTAGGACAAAAGACTACAGTCTCTCCTCAATTAATTGCGGAATCTTCTCCGTTCTAATTTGTTGAAAATTTGTATTTTTCAAATTATGTAATTCAATAATCTTTCCCTTTTGGGTGGCTGCACTTTTTATCTTCCAAAAAATAAAAGATACCTATAAAATGATCAGGTGGGTTGAACTCGTCCGCTTCGCCTACTGAGTCTGGAACCAGCCCTAGTCCTCCAAGTCCTAGTTGTGTGTGCAGTGAAAATTAAATGCTCTAGTCTCCTTCATCTGCGGTCTAGAGATAAACATCATTCCATTATCATACGCCTAATTGGGAAGTTATATTTCCCCAAGGTTGGAACAAGGGCTTTCAGGCGTCCATGTTTCACTATTCTTCTAGTTCTAGGCCGACCGGAAGGCGTTGATGACTGTGACTGACAAACGGGTAGGGCCTGGTATTCTTTTGACCTCATAATTTTCATGGTCAATAGGACAAGAAGAGCTTTTTACCAATAATGTTTTGCTATTCCTTCAAAATAGGGATGTCGATATACCTCAAGTCGGGTAGAATTCTTCATATTCGAAACTCATGGAGCCCGTTGAAGCTTGGGGAGCTGAAAAAAGTTCGGTTCAGGATCGGTATACAAAATACATTATTATTATTATTATATATTTTTATATATATTATTATTAAGATAATATACCATATATTATCTTTATCATATAAGGGAAATTAATTTTTATTATACCAAATATAATATTAAAATCTATCAATTATATATGTCTTTTTTAGGTTCAAATCAGGTGAAGGTAAAAAATTCTCATCCCTTTTTTAAAAGGAGTCCATCTCTTTTCATTTATTTTTTAAAATTAAATATAATTGTAGCTGTTATATTATGAGATTTTATCATGATATATATACAACAACTATAATAAAATATTAATTAATTTGATTAAACCCAACATGTTTTAAATAAATTAAATCTGCAACTCGTAAAAGAGTCGACAAAACATAAACATAGCACAATAGCTAGGAACTCCTTTCCCCTTTGAGAGAGAAAGATAATAAAAGGTGTAATGGGGCGAAAATTTGAGATCAAATTTTATTTTATTTTTGAATTTTTTGGGCAAAAAATTTAAATGAATAATGGTTATTGACTTCAAATAGAACTTTCTATAAAAACAAATGATTTTTTTTTTCTTTGAGGGGGGGGGGGTGTTTGTGTACAACTTTTCTTTTCCTTGCAAAAGTGCCTAAGCCAAAAAAGATTAGGTACCAATGGGAACGCCGGATCTATCACAACTGTAGGGGTCCCCAAATAGACGGGCAGGACCGCCGACTTGAAAGAGAAAGACGAACAGTTGACGTGGACAATCTCTACCTGTCACTGTAACAAGAAGAAGATTTTTGATTCTCTCAATAATCGGGATGGACTTGGAACTGCAAATGCTGTGACCTAAAACCATGTCAATTAAATTTTTAAAATCTGAATTGTAATGAATCTGCCGACGCCCGAATTCCAGACCGCTTTACGACTCGCCCAGAAATCTCTCCGCATCCCTCTTTTGTCCAGTTTGAATACAAATTTAAATCAATAAATTGAATCATAGCCCAGCAGGTATCTATTTTGTCCGGAGGTGGATGGTTTCAGCCATAGCCCAACAGGTATCTAAACCTGGCCCCAATAGGCCAGCAGCCCCACCGTCACACACTGCTTTGTATTTAATGAACACTAACCCCAAAAACATTCTGCTCCTTTGAAACTCAAAATGAATGAATGAAATTAAAAAAAAAAGAGAGAGAATATTCTGCTAAATTTGGCAACATGAAATCCATGGGTGTATTTGGTATTTGGTGCTTCCGAATTTAAAAATTTACACCAAGTTGACCCCCCCTTTTTCCAATTTCGGGACGCCCAAGACCAATTTCATTTGTTACCTTTTTTTTTTTTTTTGGTGGGATCAAACCACCGTGGTCCATTCCAACCATAGTTTCTTCCTTCCCCGGCACAAACCATGAGTGGGGACCGTTGCGTATGGACATAAATAACCTTATTCTTTTGGTCACTTGGCCTACAAAATTGATGTATTCTTATAATTGGCATGTCTCCCTCTGGGGGTTTCACATGGACTTGTGGCTAGCTACCATATGCTTTTAAATACGCATTATTTAATTACCTGCAGTGTGGGGAATGTCCATGGCAAAACCCACTATTTATATTGGTACTCATTCAAGGGGGGCATGTCTCCAAAGACCCTCCTCTCGACTACCCAAAATGCACCCTTACATTACGGCCAATTTTTCTTCATATTCAAAAAAAAAAAAAAAAAAAAAAAAAACTTTACAATGGGGATTAGTAGTAGTAATTTTCCAAGGTGGGTTAAACATATAATTACTGAAAAATAAAGTTATATTCATATATTCAATGAAAAATAATAATAGTATTATCGATCCATCTTCCATAAATATAGGCATTATGCTCTTTAATATTTTGTAATTCGATTTATTTCAACCTTTGGACTTGGACGACTTTTTCAAAATTTTCCCCATAAATTTGTCTGGTTTTGATTTTCATTGAAATAAACTTCCATTAATATAGCTTCTTATCATATCTGTGTATCTTGCTTTACATTTCTGACTTAGCTTCTTAAAACTTGCAGGGCATGCAGATCGTACTGATACCATGAATCTGAGTAGAACTTCTGAACCAGAAGAGCATGCGTGCATGCATGCATGATGCTGGCAGTAATGTAGTAATTAATTCATGTAAAATGAATTCAAAAAGACTAAAAAATAAAAATTCACGGAAGAAGTTCAGGGTTACAGTAGTACTAACAAAATACAAGTCTCTGACTCATCGCCTAAAGTCACAGCAGTTAAAAGAACAGTAAGAGATTGCAGTAAATGCCTCTTCTCTCATTCCCTTTTATTATGAGAGAGAGAGAGAGAGAGAGAGAGAGAGAGAGAGAGAGAGAGAGAGAGAGAGAGAGAGAGAGAGAGTGGGAAATCTAGAGAGAGAGAGAGAGAGAGGCTGTTAGGGTCGCTAGCGAACTCGGCAGAACGTCTGCTGAACCTGGTGAGCGAGTTCCTCGGCGCTAAGTTGGCATTCGATTCCAATCTACCACGCATAATTTATCCCAATCATCAATCACCCAAAACAGTAAAACAATTCAATATAAAAATTTAAATCAACACCAACAAATCGTAAAACACCGACCCACATTAAAACAGTAAATCCTGCATGGAGTTACATGATGTGGTAATCATGCATGGTGGTACAGTTCGCCCTATATGCATAGGTTTCAGCAAGCTAGACACTGTCTTTCCTAAGAGTTGCAGTATAATTTAGAAGTAAAAGAAATGTATTATGAATCCATGATGTCTCATCCCACGTACGAACGTGAAAATTACTGACCTTCACAAACAACTATGCCGGGAGGTTCTCTTTTCTACCTGCCGGTGCTCCCCCTAAACATAGGTCACAACGGTATACCTTTGAACATGTACTTCCACCCTTTTTTTTTTTTCCTAAACATAGAATGGGACACCCACTTTTGTATTTTTATACCCGGAAATTTTAGTTTATGCAGAAAAGAAACAGAAGAGGTTGTAGTGTCTTAATTCATGATTATAACGATTGCAAAAATAGGAGTAATTTGAAGCAAGTAGGGTTTTGTTTTTTAGAAAATGTAAAATATTTGTTCAAATTTAATGAATAAATAAACCTGTCAGTCTGAAGTACTGCAACGTGGCATCTAAACTAAATGTTTTTTGATTTTTTGTGTGGAGAGGGATGCAATATAGCAAAACTTGAGGACCAGAAATCAGATAGAATAGCCATGGATCCTTCTATTAATTTTGACTTATTAATCTCTGGGTATATTCTTCGTTGTCCTATTATGTTTACATACATCCGCAAATTTTGTTTATTTATCTTGTTTATTTCATAATTGATTCTGAATTCACGTTGATATTAAAATATATCAAATCTGTAATCTTTTGTTTAAATAAAAAATAAAAGTACTACGGGAGTGAAAAAAGAAAAAAAAAACAAAAACAACATACACAAAAACGAACAAACAAACAAACAAAACCAGAACTGTACCCTATTGGCTTCAACCCTTACCTTGATGGTGAAAGAATTGAGCATGGTTTCATCAACAGTGCTAATGCTCACATGCAGGATCTCGAGGGCGAGGTCCTCTAGTGCCGCAATGATCTTCACGGCCTGCCCTGGAATCCGCGGAGACGTGGTCTTGAGCAGAACATTGGGCCCAGAAAACTTCACCTCCACGTCAGCAATGGCGGATTTTGAGTTGGCGACAAGCTCATTCACCACGCCATCGACGGAGGAGGAGGAGGAAGAAGGAGAGGGGTCTAGCGAAGAGGCGAGCATCGATCTTGGCCTGTATGGGCTGGTGGGCTGCGGTGTTCTTGGGCTTATGGGAAGGTTCAATCTTGGACTCAATGGAGGTTTTCTGGGGCTGAGTGGAGAGGGTCTAGGGCTAGAGACGAGTCTGGGACTTAGAACCTCGCTGTAAACTCTTCTTTGCTTCTTGGTCTCTAGGGACTGTAGGACTTGTTGTAGTTCGTTGATGTAGTCCACCACTCCACCGATTATTGATGCTTGGTCACCCTACACACGCGCACATATATGTGAAGAAATGCCCTTTGCAAATTTCGAAGGAACGACATGTTTTCACTAGAAGTCCATTCTAGAGACTTGCGGGTTGTTACGGGTGTTTGTGCCTTATTTTTTAGATTTTTGGGTTCAACTTTTAAGTTAAAAATGTTGTTTTTAATTTTTTGAATTTAAAGGCAACTAAAAATGTGTCAAAAATGATAATGGTGAAGCAAAAATATTGAAGGCCTACCTACCCTTTCCTATTTTCTGATGCTTCGGAATGTAACTTCTACTAAAATTTGAGAATAAAAAAGCTTTGTTTGCTTTACTCTTTTGACATGTTGAGACAAAGAGAGTGAAATTAAAGTACAAAGTGAACTTTGAGAGTCAAGAATATCTAGCAGGTTGTTTCAAGAAACAGGGAATGGAAAAGAAGGCTTGCCAAAGCACTTACTCTCTTGCTACCTGTGGGAGAAGAGATGTAAAGAAACGGAGGAGTTCAACCATTCCAAGAAGAAAAAGAACTAGTCTGTATGTTTCCTTTAATTAAACCTGTTGCCTAAGAGACGTAGTGTTCAGATACAACAAGTACAAAAGCTGAACTTTCACCAAAAAGTCGGTATCCAATAAAGCCATAAGTCAAGCAAGTCACTTACTCTCTTGACATAGAAACAAGGCATGAGAGACCTCAGCACCGACAAATGCTCATTCATCTGCTTCCTCCGGTTCCTCTCCACCGTTATGTGAGACATCCTTAGCTGCCCCTCCGGCTCTTCTGACGAACCGCCTGGGGTGGTGGTTAGCTTCTGCCTCTTGCTCTTCGGCTCGCCCGGTTCAAGCTCCGGTTCAGAGCAGTCTTGCAAACCACTCGATGAGGTCGACTTCTGGGAAGCCAAACGGGTCCCCGCATCCTTCGAACCCGACCCCGAAGCTTCAGGGGCGAACTCCGAAAGGCCGCCGTCCAGGCTCTCCAGGATGCTGAAGATGTCATCCGGCGACACCTCCGAATCCTCAAAAAACTCGGACAAATTGTCAGCTCCGCCCCCATCCATGTTAGAAAACTGCCCGGGAAACAGCTGAAAATGGGTGTGGCTGAAAATAAAAACTAGGAGGCGAGGATAGCAGTGTCTAAGGTCTTACTTTTCTTTTTTTTCCTTGTTTTTGCCTGGGTTGTCGAGATCAAGAGAAGAGAGGGGGTGAGGTTTAGCAGTAAATATACGGGCTGAGATGATTGCGACTGCACTATCACCATCACTTCTCTCTTTTCTCTTTTATATTTTTTGGGTATTATTTATTTCTATCTATCTATATGTTTTTTCAATTTCTCTTCCATCGGCCGTGTCTTTACCGTTAGATGCCGTTGCGGGTTGAGGAATCAATCACACGGAAATCGGAGAGACAATAGAAGCACGAAATCCCATGCTGGAGATGGCAGACTACAGAACGAAGAGAAAGAGAGCCGTTAAACTGGGAGAGAGAGAGGGTCAGCCACGTAAAAATAAATAGACTTGCTTCACTAGTGGGTAGAAGAGAGTTTAGTTGAGATTAAAAAAAGTCAAAATGTTTTTAATCAAAAGTTATATATTGATAAATTAGAATTTGCCACGAAATAAGAATTTTTAAAGTAATTAAAAAATCCAAATTTTAATATTTTTGAAATATATTTACAAAAAAATAATTTTTTAGGAATTAAAAATTACGGAAACTACTTTTGTCATATATCATAATAAAGAAGTTTAAAATAATAAAAATTCTAATACTAAACTCCTTTAAATAAAAATTAAATGTTAGGCTTATTACATTTGCATTACCAAATTTTTATCACATTAAAAAAATTTAAAAAAAAATCATCAAAAAATGAAAATCGCATAAAACTTGAATTAGAGGTTTTTTTTCCCAAGCTTGACTTTTCTTGTGAGCTATGACATTCTTTTCTATAAGAAAATTTATTTATTTATTTATTTATTGACTTTTTGGAAAACATGAAATGAATTTTCATTAGAGAATAGGAATACCTTGAAATTACAGTCCACAACCCCACATTACCAATTCCCTAAGATACGAATGAAATCTTCTACTCTTCTAAGTATAGAACAGCACGATTTTTTTTAAAATTTGTATTATGCAATTTGAATTTATTTATTGCATTAAGAACAGAAAGAAAAGGAATTATTCATTCTATCCGTATTCTTACATCATATATATGCATGCAAGTATTGGATCCAAATGGTGAGATACAGAACAGAATTAATCAGACTTCCAAAATTTTTGCAAAACCCAAGGACTTGGAAGGAAAATTCATTGCTGCTTCTGCATGAAGAGAAGTGCAATTAATCGAAAGGCTGCAAATTAACTAATTCACTCATACACTCCAAAGGAAAATATCATGATGATTAGGGAACACAATGGGGCAGGTCTGACGTAGATCTTATAGTTTTCAGATTCAAAACTGCACCAAAAAAATAAGGCTAGATCCATGCAAGTTTACAATTGAATTCACCTACCTAACTATATTAGTATCCCTTGGACTCCTAAATCTAGACTTTTAACTATTTATAATTAATTTTTTTAATTTAAAATTTATAAACAACTAAAATAAATAAAATAATTTCACAAAAAACATTATTAGAAGTTCAAAATTTAACATAATGTATAAGTTTTACAGATGTCAAATTTAAAAATTATAATATGAGGAAAAACTAAAATTATATATATCTGTAGTATGTGAGTTTGGGGTGGAGTGATTACTGTAGTAGTCAGACTTGGACCCATATCCATTCAAATATCCATTTAATTATTTGACTTTGATTCAGATCCGTTTAATAGTATTTAGACCCGAACCCATTTAAGTAATTTTCTCCAGTATCCATTGAATCGGGTCCAATTGCCATCCTTAATGATGATTTCCTGGTAGGAACATGCATTCAGATAACAATTGAATCCTTCAGAAATTTCTGGCTTGAAAATGGTAGGTACATTTTGTTCATACTGTTTTAGGACGTACAGTCCTGTATTCTGTATGCCCATAAAGCTGCTTAGATATCATGGAGCTGGAACCCAGGTGGAATAGACCAAATTACACTTGTAAATCTTTTAATTAAAAACTTAATCACTTAATAAATAACTCTTAAGGATTATCTGTAATTAAGAATTATTACAAAATTTAAATAGCCAAACTACCCTCTTGTATTCATTACATGAATACAAAATTGTTTGGCCTTTAAAGAAGAGAATGACAGAGAGATATGGCATAGAACAATTAATTGGGAAACAAGTCATCTGCATGGCAGGTAGGAGATGAATGTTTCGCTTAAAGTTTTAGGTCAATTAATGAAGCCCAATAGTCCAATCCAACAAATTGTCTTGAAAAAAATGAAATTAAAAATATCTTGCTCTACATTGATAACACATCATGATTGAACAGAAAATGTTTGTTCCAGACCGTGGCAAGGAGCATACAGAATTTTCACGGTATATGCACAGTACTGTATTTTAAAGTTTTCAAGAGCTATAAGTTGGTCCTGTGTGCTATGAAGATGAACCTTAAAGTTTCATTTATAATCCATGCAAATTTAAATCTTTTCAATTTCCTCCCTATTCTTTATCAATTAGACAAAAAGTAAATCGCAAATGAAAACTATTCTTACTGTTGGTTTCAGCGATGTAAAACCTTGGACCAGAAGTCAAATATTTTTCTTTTAGGGTTTAAAAAAAAAGCCTTCAATCAAATTTCTCGTGATTAATGAAAAAATTGTGTAAAAAGTTTTAAGGGAGTTGCCCAGAAGGTATGTACTAACTGTTCCAAAGTTGACAGCAACTGGAAAACTATCAGTGAAAATGAAACTTTCATGAAATCTTTTACTGTTCAGGAAATGATTCCGTAGTAATTTTATTTTGCTCACCTGAAAGAGAAGATAGTACTAACTTTTTAAGCAACAACAGTTAATATATACTGCTAGGAATGACAAGGTATAGGGCGGATAGAATATTAATTTATCAATCTTCATACCCAATTGGAAAATCGGTATTTGTACCAATCTCTGTATTCAACTACATATTTATTTTAATTCTCCATTCTTGTCAGATAATATTATACATTTACTTGATCCATATCTCCATTTGAATATGATTCATTTCTAAAATAGTAATTAATTATATTTTATAATACATGAACTATATATTTTTAATAGATTAGTTTTTAAATATAATATATATATCAGATACGAGATGAGTTAGATATTATAACGCTTGTATTCGTCATTATACCTAAAAAAAATTTTGTAAAAATCCTATGCTCCGTCTTCATCCTAATTTTATAGTACTTACACTTGGCTCCACGGATCATTAATATTTATAAGTACCAGTCAAATATGAATAAAATTTTCATCCCTACCTACTACCCTAAAATGCCACATTTATTAATGCAAAGTTAAGAATAAATCATAACAAATTCAAAGAGTTATCCCAAGTCTATGATATAATGCATTCTAACAAGAAGTGAAAATTCTAAAAATGTTTGGTATTAATTTTTTTAAATTTAAATTTTTTTTACAATACTGAAAAAGGCTAATTTTATTTTGATGATTAATATTAAAATACAAATTTCTTCCTACGAGAACTAGACGTACGTTTAAAATGAACTTTCAACTTCTGAACTCTTTTCATCTTGAAACCAAACATCTATGACTTAATGTTAAAAATAACAAGATCATTCAAAATTCATTCAAATAAATCCATTTTCATGCACCCAAGAGCACAAATGTGCTTCCTTAACTTCCTTAGTTTTCACCTCGACTTAGTTATATCATTTTATTTTTGTTTAAATTTAAGATTTCAGTATAAAAAAACTATAATAATATTAACTAATTGGTTAAGCGGAGGGGTTGCTAGCGACCGATGAAGTATATGAGCGAAGAAAACCATGTTCTGCTTATGGGTTGCCTGTGAAAGACGACAAACGCTGCATGTATTTGCGTGAATATACACATGTATGTGTATAGAGAGAGAGAGAGAGAGAGAGAGAGAGAGAAGTAAATGAGAGGCAGAGGTTGGAGACGACGATGGGAGTAGTAGTACTGGGCAAAGTCTGCAACTTGTCTGCTTGAGAATTTCATATTATTCAATTCATATGGAGGCCTTCAATGTGCAGACACGGCATCTCCGTGCCTTCTGTGATTATTGCTATAATTTTCGAGAGCTGCAAATATTCGAATCTATACATACATGAACATATACGAATCTATTGTAGAGAGAGAACATATATAGTAAACAAAATTTAGAACTGGACCAGCGGTTCATCCAGTTTACCGAAAATTGACGAGTCCATACGGTTCAGTTTGTCGTAATGGTCCTTCAATAAAACTCAATGAGCCTGCACTTTTACTGTTGAAGTGCTGATGCTGAGAAATATGTAGCTGTTGTGGCTTGAAATCGCGCCAAAAGTGAGGAAGCCTGCAATCTTGTTCCGTATGTATCATTCATCATATATATATATATATATATATATGAATTAATTACATGTATTTTTTATAATTCTGGTTTAAACCGGTTCAGTGAATAGTCAAACCAACGAGCAAGAACCAATACTTGAACTGATTAATGTTCGGGTCAATTGTGACAGAGTTTTTTGAATACTGTCAAATTTGACAAGTGTGTGTGTGAGAGAGAGAGAGAGAGAGAGAGAGAGAGAGATGGTGGCAGAGGGTGGGCAGAGGAGAGAAGGGGAAGGGGAGTAATTGCTGTTTTTCAGCACGGGAGTGCGTTTCATTTATGGTGAAGGGAGAGCACTTTGGATTTTACACAATTACTTCTCCCTTCCCAAATAAATCCTCCTCTTCCCTATCTGCCATCTTTCACATTTACCATCCTCAACCACCCTCTCTCTCTCTCTCTCTCTCTCTCTCTCTCAAGATTGCTTAAGACGTACGTGCCTCTGGAGTATCAAGTTAGAATTATTGTAAATAAGTATATGTACACTGGGATCCATCTAAAGGGTAGAGAATTGGATTCATCATGACCTTCTTCTATCAGGTTTATACCTTTATAATGTACTAAAAAAAAAAAAAAGAAATGCCCTTTTAAAATCATGTGGAAATCCTAATTTATGTCTTTTAATTATACGAGAGAGAGAGAGAGAGAGGAAAGTCAAACTTAAAAACATGTCTTGATAAAATGTACGCAATTCAAATTCTAAATACATATACTTTTCAGTTCCCATTAAAATTGGAAAAAAATCCGATCTTAATGAAAACC